ACCCAAACTCTGCAGTTTGGATTCAGGAACACTGAAGAGACATTTCAGGCTGTTAAAGCGAGCTGCCCTCATTTCTGGATAACAGCACTCTCAGAGTAATCCCTGGATCTGGCTTTCCCCCGTGTGTGTTGTCTAGTGTGGGTCTAGAGGGTCTGTTGCTCCACAGGTGCACCTGAAGCTCTTCTCTGGCCCTCAGGTAGTGCTCTCTCATTTGTAGCCTCAGGTAGCAGCATGAGCATCTCTTGGTTCTGTCACATTCCCCTCCTGAGCTCTGCCTGCCCCAGAGCCCTCCCCCAGCTGCCCCACGCTCGCCCAGCATCACTGCTGGTGATTCCTGCTGCCCCAGCCTCCTGGTCCCCCTCAGCTTTCCTGTCCCTGGGGTGGAGGGGATGCTCGAGGGGGATGCCAGGGAACCCAGTCCTTCCTTGGGAGATCCTTGTTCACCACTGGAAAGGTTGTTTTATCACAGGACAGAAATGTTTGGCTGCCTTGTCAGTAGCTCTAACTCTGCTGTGTCTCTGCTGCCTGGGCAGGTGCTGTGGCTGCGCTTCTGGGGCACAAACCAGTGTGTCATGTGCAGGTGTGGGGTAAGGGATGGCAGCACTGGAGTACTGCAGGTGCCCAGCCCTGCCCTGGGACACTGAGGCCACAAGGACACCACAAATCCCAAGGAAAGAGTCGTGATGAACAGAGGGTGGTGGGGGTGGTTTTGTATCTGCCCTGTCCCCTCCTCGCAGCCCCAGGTCCCCAGGAGAGCACTGGCCTTGGGTGCCATGTGAAGCGTGAGGAAGGAGCGAGGGGAGCAGCAGGTGGCACTCGAGCATCGTCCCGGCACTCACGCTCGGGATCGCTCCGGGCTGAGCCGCGAGGGGAGCGCGGCCCTTCGGGCTCCAGACCTTGGAGGGAGATGTGTCATCTTGGGCTATAAACTGCATCTACAGGATCTTGATTTGCATGCTTGGGATGTTCCTCTCTGCTCACAGGTCCAGATTGTATCTCTGCTTGTGCAGGTTTGTCCTTACACAGTGTCTGGACGTGAGATGATAAAGGGAAAGTGTTACTTTTCACTCACAGAGCTTGGCCTCTAATTTGTTTGGATATTTTCTGGGATTGTGGTGTGCACTTACCCCAGAGCTGTTGCAGAGCATTGAAACAAGATTTTTCTCTTTCTTGAATCAGATAATTTCCTCCCTCCCAGCCAAAATGAAGTGAGCTCGTTGTGCTCCCACTGAAAACAGACTTGGTGTGCAGATTGAAAGGCGAAGTTCAGTGTGTTTGTTACAGAGACAACGACTGGACATGTGTGAATGAATCAGGGAAAAATGTTCCTGTTGAGATGGTCTTGGTGTGTGCTGGGCATGCAGAGAGATCCCTGGATGAGGAGCTTTGGCTCCTCTCATCTCACAGGGGACAGTCCCCTCGGTGTCCCAGCACTGTTGCTGCTCCTTGCAGGGCTGTCACTGCACTGCAGGGCTGTTTGCTGGGACAGCTGAGCTTCCAAGCATACAAGCCCTGAGCCCGGATTCAGACCGTGCTCATTCTCCTCTGAACCCCTGGGAGGCTCCCCTGTGGCAGCTGAGATGGGACGAGCCCCCTGAGGGGCCACAGCCTGTGCCAGGCTCTGCCCGCCCGGGTTTGGCCCTTGGACAAGACATCTGGACTGGGTTTGTCCAGGAATGGGGCAGAAGCACTTGCAGGGTGTCTGCTGAGCACCCCAGCCCCTGGCTGTGTGTGCTGGACTCCCCTGCTGTTGAGAATGGGGAGAAAAAAACCACTTGTGCGTGCCCAGGTCTCTCATGTGTGAGGCCAATACAAATCCACAGATTTTTGTCAGCAGCTTGACCTCTCGGGCACAGTTCTGGCTCTGCAGCAAAGAGCTGCCCTCGTTCTTCCTCTTGCCTGACTCTTCTGTAATGGAAGGGCTAAATGCTTATTACTTTTTTGTAGCCTTTTCCAGTTGCCAATCAAACATGTCTGGTTTGGGGCTTGTTTTGTTTCTGCGTTGCTGGGACTTTGCAGGATGCTCTATCTCACTGTAATTATGGTTCCATCATTGTCTTGGCACGATAACATCTGCTGTCTCCCTGCGATCTCCACTTCCCATTTCTCCTATTTTTTTGAGAATTTCATGGATCCTGATGACCTTCTATTTTCCATAACATCTCATGCATCTCAGCGTACACAGCTGTTTCTCTTGCATTCCCCTGTCTTTCCATTTACCTCTTTTTTTCCTCTCAGCATCTCCAGTGCATTCCAATGCATGTGAACGTGGGCCCTTTGCCCCCCGCCCGGGCTGGTTTCCCTCTGAGCACAGTGCACCCCCAGCTCCAGGGGAAGGCTTTGCTCTTCTCACTTAACACTTCCAAGGCTATTTTCTCAGGCTTTTTATTTTGAGTGTGTTGTACTCTTTGGCTCTGGGTCTGAGGTGTCTCGGTGCAGCTCCCCCCGAGCGGGTGGGCAGGGATGTGCCGTGGGTGGGTGGATGGAGGGATGGATGGAGGGTGTCATCCCTCAAGGTGAAGTCACTGCTCGGGACAAACTGCAGCCAAGCTGGAGCAGGGCAAGGAGAGAAACTGTGCTGGGTGTGGAGCTGAGGTGGTGAAAGGGCTGGAGAAAAATGGGCTCAACTACTGGCTCTGGGTGACCTTGTTAAAGATCTTGAGGTCCATGAGTGCGAGGAACGGAGGTATTTCAGGTTTTATTCCATTCTGCCACCTCTTATTACTAGGACATTACCAGTATGCCTATCCTCTTAAAAAATATTAATTAAAAAATCAGTCCTATAGTTGCTGCAGATGGACTAATAAAACTCTGGGATATGACAGGACCTTAAATCTCTGCTTTGTTCCCTGTCTGTAAAGCATGCACCCCAGTTCTCCAGCTCCTATGCCCATGTCTCACCTGCCTGCATGGCAGGACCCTGGCCCTGCCCCTCCATACAGCTCCAGGCCCAGCCTGGCCCAGGGCACTTGATGATGCTGTAGCAAAACTAATCCTGGGACTGTTAAAGGCACATGGATTTTTGTCATTTTAGTTACCCTCAACTCACGGTCTGTATAGGTCTGAGCTGGGACTGTCCCTTTCTGGAGGGGCTTTGCAGAAACACCTGGAAGGTGACAAGAGAAGAAGGGAGCAGGTAGGGAGCTGTGGAGATTAAGAAATCCTGCAATAACTTTGTAAATGGATGGAAATAACGCTGTGTTTGCATCATCCCTTTTCCTCTTTCGGGAGTGTGTTTATGCAGAGATGGTTTTTACACAGATCTGCATTGCATGTGGGTGCTCGTACCTAAGTAGGGCTGTGAAATCATGGATTAAAGGTTCTAGGCATCCAGAGGGAGTTATGTGGTGTCGGAGTGGATGACAACTGCCTGATTTGGGAGGGGAAATGGTCCCATGCAGATGTGAAGCAGCGGATTTGGTGAGGACTCAGCTCTGTGTCCTCACCCAGGCAGTGCTGCGGGAGCAGAGCTGGGTGTGGGGGCACCTTCCACTGGGCTTTTGTTCCTGGAAAGGGAGAAAGGCACAGGAAAGCACAGCAAGCCCTGGCTCCAAAGCAGGGGCTCAGGTGTTGGGCCAAGTGTGGCTCTGGAATGGGCCAAACTCAAAGGGAATCGCAGGGGGAATAAGCATTATAGGGAATAATCACTATCACTTAATGCTTCAGTGACTCTGAAATAATTGGCTGTTTCCTGGGCATATCCAGATGAGCTGAAGAGTTCTCCCTGTTGCCTTTTGTACCGTAGTGATCTTTCAGAGACCTGACTGCCCACCTCTCCCTCTCCCTTTACCTCCTGGGTCCCCCTCCCGCAGATTTCTCCTGGAGTTTGTATTTCTGCCCCCACAACGTCTCTGAAGAATCACAAACGTGTAACGCGTGTCCCAACGCTTGGATTTTAATAACGTGCAGCAACCCCCATCAGCACAGGCAATTTCACATTCAACACATTATTGCTATTTAAAGCGCTGAGGTATAAAAATGATTGGCAATCCGGCCCTGCCAGCGCCGCCGCTGCCAGAGTGTGATTTTTAATGTCGGTTGCTCTGCGCAGTCGTTCCCTCACCTTTGACTTGCAGATTTCCCAGCGTCAAAATAGCAAAATCACTTTGGGCTGTAACAGGCACTTTGCTTGCTGCTGAAAGGAAGGAATTATCATTAAAGGTGCGGAGGGCTGGATGTACACAGACACACCCGCACAGACCGCTGCTCCCCTTCCCAGCCGAGCGTTTCCCGGCCTTGCAGATGTGTTTTCCCTGAGCTGCTGGGTTTTGGGGAAGTGGGGGTGATGGGCAGGGGGTGTTGTGTTATCTCTCTGTTATGGTTCTGGAGGAGGGAGGCCAGCAGGGTTCCTCCTGGAGATGCTGCCCCACGAGGGCTGGTGGATTCCGTGCTCCCAGGGCTGTGACAGTGATCTCACACGGGGCCCAGAGGTGTTGGCTGTTTACAGGGACATGTTGCTCTGGGTTAATGTACAGTGTGATTAAAGATTAGACCTTTGTGAATTTCTATTTAAGGCCACCTCAGCCTGCTTACCTTAAAGTATGAGCTGACCAGAAAACAGCCTTTTTTATGTGAAAACAAGACTTTGTCTTCCCTGAGGTAATGGTGCGGTCCAGGCTGGGATGGGGTGATGCTGGGGGAGGGCAGTAGGGATGGGTCTGCCAGGTTGGGTTTGTGGGGGCAACAACATGGGAATTCTGCCTCTGTTTCCCTCCCAGCAGGATCAAACCTCTGCCCTGCACTGGGAAGATCTGCCTGTAGGGCTGTTGACTCCTGGGTGCCTTTGGAGGGGAGTCCTTGCCTTTCCCAGCTGTACTCACTGCCTGGAGGGATGTGTGCAGGGCTGGGACAGAGCGAGCTCAGCAGGCCTTTCTCTTCCCTAAAAATACCTGTTCCCTCCTGTTCCCCACAGCAGCCAAGGAGACTGTGCCGAATGCACCAGCTCCAGCACCTTCTGGGCTGGGAAAGGGGGAATCTTTTGGGTGATCTTGGAGAAATCTTGGTGTCTTGTGCGGATGCGGAGTGTGCAAAGCCCTGGGAAAAGGCGGCCCCTGGAGCCAGGGAGCTGATGGCAGCACTTTGTCACCGTATTTACACTTCCACTGGCCCAACGTGAAGCGTTTGGCTCTCCTCCACTTGCGGAAGGGATTAGCTACTTCATAACATCCAGACAAGATAATCTCTCCAATTTTGCCTGGAAGAAGTCCCTGACAAAGAGCAGCAAAGCTACAATAATGCCAGATGAAACAGTAATTGAGTTTGCTGTCTTATTACTTTCTCAGCTAAGTTTGTGTTGGTTTGAATTTAATTTTTTTGTTGTTGTTGATACAGAGCAACAAAACACTGTCCCTGGGTTGAGTCAGACCAGCAGAGTTACATCTGTGGTGAACCTCAGCGGCACAAGGAGGTGAGAAAAGAGGGGAAGGGGAGTGACTGGGAAAAGTTACCTGGGACATAAGTAACAGGACGTGTTCCATCCGCACTGGAGCAAAGCTGCTCTGCTGATGCATCACACTAATACATCACGAGAGCAGCAGAGTTCTAAAGGTGTGGCACTCTAAACTGGCCTCAGGAAGAGGTGCAGCAGTCTCTGTCCACTCCAGCTCAGTGTTGTGCTGTCCCTTAGCTTTTCCTTTAAACAGTGTCCTAAGAAGAAATAGCAGGAAGGGGATCTGCTGGGCTCCTGTGGGCCTACAGGTGTGGTTCCCCAAGGATGCAGAGGGTTTCATTTGGAAAGGCGAAGCTGAAGTGCTCTCAAGTGGCAGGAAGGCAAATGTCACCTCCTGCAGTGTGGCCCTGTGTGTCACCTCAGCTGGTGGACCTGGGCACGGCTGGAGGCTCAGCCCAGGCAGCCCCAGCTCAGCACCTGGGCCGCAAAACTGGGCAAGCAGTGATGCCTCAGGAGACATTTGCCAGTGCCACGTTATCCCACCAATGTTTTAAGGATACATAAGAGGGTGCTGTCAATCCTGACCTCCACACAAAACACACCATCCTTATTTCCTTTCTCTGCTGACCAAGCAATAGCCATGTATATTTTTTAATGGATTGTCCTTTGGATTCTTTTTCTTTGTCATCCAGTTTCAAAATTCTAAAGGTCACATTTTCCAAGTTCTTTCCTTGGGGTATCAAAGACTATTCATTTACTTTAAACAAAAACTAAAACCCCAGCAATTTTAGAAAACCACTTCATGCAGAGGGACTTGGGAAAGCCCTAAACATCACCACGAAAGCTCAGTGCTCCCAGCTGAGCTTAAGAGCAGTTTGTGTATTTACACTTACAAATTGCACATTTGTAGTTGTGCCTGCTCATAAACAAGTTTTGAAAAACAAGTGTTAAATGCCCAGTTCTTATTTCAGTCAGTGAAGTGTTTGGTTCTGGCTCACCCCAGCTCCAGGTTCTGCACCACTGCACCATCCCACTGGACCACAAGCACTCCAGGTGGGATGGGGGTGTCACCTCAGGGCTGTTGAGTTGAGACTGAGCTCACGCAGGCACTGCTGGCAGTTCACCCTGGCTCTGTGCCACGCCAGGGTGGGCTCCACAGGCTTTCATACGTGTTTCAGGGTGGACAGTAAGCCACCACATGGCAGGTGGATGATGCTGGAAGGGAAATGAAGGACCCAAAGATCTGGGTCCCAGAAGGAGCAAGGGGAGCATTGTTATAGACCTTGTCACCCAGAATCTCTTTCAGAATTCTCTCTCCTGACCAAACCTGTTCTAATTATTTGCATAGCTTGATCTTGACATCAGTGGAAACTCCAGCTGAACTTTGGCCAAGAAGGGACGGGTATGTCAGGGCCAGTTGCTTAATTATGTTTACATCTAAATTGCTGCAGTAGATCTTCACTTCCTCGAAAGTGATTTTCCTTCTGCTCTTTAATTTCATAGAACAATATGAAAGACATGAATCTTCATGAAACTCCTCTCCTAATGCAGCAGTGTTTGCAGGCTTTGCTTTTCATCAGAAGAGGTCCCAGGGGAGGTTCAAGGTAGGATCCTTGCCATCCTGGCTCAGCAATCACAGAAAGCCAAATAAATAAAGCAGGAAGTTGGCAAAGCCCTGATTCAGCAAAGGCAGAAGCACAAATTCAGCATTAACCTCTCTAAGGATGATTTGGAACTTAAGAGTTAATCTTATCACTGCACAAAAGTCAGACCAAGAATCCAGGACCTTGACAGTGGGCACATCAGTGCTTTAAATCTAAGGAGAGAGGGTGCTTAAAGCTGAGGAATTGCTAAGTATGGGCAAAGCATGCTCCCTGGTGGGAGCTAATCACTCAAAGACTGGGGTTTGGTCCCTGGTCTGGGGTGGTTTTGGCCAAGGCACTGATGCCCTGAGGGAGGATGAGGACGGCAGCATGTTCAGGTGGACAAGTCCAGAGGAGGCTGTTGTGGGGCCCAGTGGCTCCTCCTGACTCTCATCCCCTCGCCAGGGAAGACTGGAGGTCTCTGGGATGGGTCTGGAGGCCGTGTATGATCAGGGTGAGGGTCAGCGCGGGTCAAAATGCCCTCTCAGGTGAGGGGTGCAGTGTCTGCCCGTTTGGGGTGCACCCGGATGGAGCAGAGGGAGGGGGCAGAGGATGCCTCTTGGAGAGGTGGGTTTGCAGTTTAAATGGTGTGACATGCCCTGAGGAGGAAGCCTGAGGCTCTCCCAGCCCGGGATCTGCTCAGCCCTGCAGGGGCCGGGGGCTCAGGGCAGGCAGAGCGATGGGACACGGCTCCCACAGCGGGCAAAGCCCGGCTTCCTCTCTCCTGAGCTCTTCATGCTTATCTGATCTGCACCTCCCTAATGATGTGGTTAGAATTGAATTATGGTGCTTTAATGTAGTTACAGCTGCATTTCCCAGGCACATTTCTTCCTGACGTACAATGCTGGAATTTGGGATCTGGCCGCAGGCTGTGTGTGACTCCTTGTCTCCCAGGCTTGCTGCAGCCTTGCCACGTGCTGTGCCAGGCCCTGGCCGGAAAGGCAAACTTGGGAGCTCAGTTCTCATCTGCTGCTGGAAAAGCAGTGAATGATGTGGAAAGCCAGTGAATTAAAGGTAACTCCAGGGTGGGGGAACCAGGGAGCCTCGGTGACAGCCCTGAGTGCACTGCGTGATGCTGTGGCAGGGAGAAGAGTGGCTGGAGAACAGCCCTGTGCACAGAGGGTCCTACAGCTGGGCCTGGGTTTATCCTTGTTTTCCAGCTGCAGGAAAATCCCTTCAATGGTGCATGGATGAACAGTTGATCTTTAGCCAATATACGTGTTAGTGTGACTATGAGAATTTTATGCCCACTGAAGATCTGTGCTGGGATAGTCTAAAACTTCACGTAAACTTTCTTGATCACCTCCTTTGATGTGAACCTAATGGTCATGGAATTTGCTGTATCAGCAGTAAGAATCATTTGATTAACCAGAGAAGCAAATAAAGGAGTTAACTCTAAAGTCAGACAGGAAACACCAAAAAATGATGGGTTTGCCATTTCCATTGTGCCAGAGGTGCAGGAATGCCCAAAATTCAAAATGTGAGGGTTCCCCACCATCTACAGAGAGGAAACTTTGCTTATCAACCTTCCAGGGTGTTTTCATCAGTTCTGATCTGCCTGTAGTTAATTTAGAGCGATGCTGTCCTCTGGGGAGTGACTTGTTTTTCCTACCCCTGATTCAGCTCCACACTTGTGAATTTTAAGTGCATGTGCACATATAAATGAGTGTCTGTATTTATACAGATCCTGCCACTGCACGTTTTGCGATAATTCTCCTTGGATGCTCTTGCTGTCTCCCACAGTCGATTTTTCTGAATGACATGGAACTGATAATGGATGTGGTTTCAGTGCGATCGGGCTGGCTCGTCTCATTCCACCTCTCCTGGTTTTGAGCAAGAATGTGAGGACTTGCTGTGTCTATTTTAGATTCCATCATGAAAGGAATAATTGAGATTGAGGTTCTTAGTCACTCAATGCGGAAGGTCAGGGAATTAATGCTGTGTTACACCAGACCATTCATTTACTGGGCCTCCTTTACTGTCTGTAGAGGAAAACAAATGTGCCTCAGAGAAGGTAACGCATCTTCAACACCCCGCACAGCCCCAGCCTCTGATAATACACACTGTTTATCTTTATTTTGAGGGTGTTCCAGGGTAGTTTTATCATCATAATTGATTAGTGGCAACAGGGAAAAAAAATCCAGGAGTAACAGGAAGAAATGATTCCAGTGAATCCATTGACTCAGTGGTAGCATTGATCTACTTCTGGGAATTATTTATAGGAGAAGATTCATAGTTAATAATATTAGTTTGGACTTTGGGAGCAGTTTATCAGAGGCTTTTAAAGGCCTTTGGTAAAAATTAATCAGACAGAGAATAAGTTAGACAGCCTGGTTTTGGGAGAGGGAAGGAAATGGGATTCCTGGCATAACTCTGTCTACCTCAGAGCGAGAGACAGTGGAAGGGGTAACTTGGGGTGCTTGGATATGCCTAAGCACAGGAGTGGGAGGATAGATTTCCAGCTGCTCTATCAGCCAGTGCAGCTGGGGAAAGGTCCTTGGAAAATTCCCCACTAAACCCCTCCTTCAGATGAAGCCAAGGTGTCCATGGGACAGTCACCCGAGCCGGATCCAGCAGGGAGGACTGCCCGGGGACAGCACTAACCCTCCTCCCCCCCTGCCTCTCCTCCCCGTTTTGTTTTTGGTTTTAACTTAATTGATCTGTATCCTGCAATCCTACCCGCAGGAGCAATGACACATCTGAAAAAAGCAGGAGGATTTGTTTAAAGTGAGCTGCTTGGGGTTTTCAGTGTGTGTATATATAGAATTGCCTGGAAGTAGTAAATAGAATTAAACACTCTGGTTCTGAAAAACAAAATTCTCAGGGCTGTCTGTTGATTTCAAAGCTGATGAAAACAAAGCAGGCTTTGAAATCTTTCCTCGCAGAGCTTCCCCCTCCTCCCTTATCATATGAAAGATGGGCTTGATAATATTTGGGTTTTATTCTTCTTTTGAAACAGTTGAAAAAATGCTGTTTTCTCAGTTAAGATGAAAATCCTGACGCTTTTAATAAGGTCAGTGTAACATCTTCATTAGCAAATGCTGAAATAACTTGATGCAGATCTGGAACTTGACCAGGAAAAACTTCAGTGTCTACCCAAGATAGAAAGTCACATTTGCAACAGGTGTGAACCAGTAGTGCTTCCCTAAAATTACTGGTTCTGGGATAGCCTATTCCAGTTTAGGGACTGGCTGCTGTGTTTTTAAGTAACTCCCAAACTCCAGTGGTTTTTGTTTGTTTTCCTGGGACAGAGCCTGGCCCTGGGCTCTGTGAACGCTGGGGCTGGGCAGGGTTGGGTTTGGTGGTTTCCTTTCAGAGGATGGAGCAGCTGGAAACAAAGGGAGGGACTGGCAACCTGGGAAGAGGTGTAGAGCTCACCATGAGGAAATGCAGGTGGATGTTAATGGACAGACAGCCTAAAATAAGACAAAACCAAAAATATCCCACCCACTAAGTCGGTGCTCTGTTGAAATTCTGTCTACAAATGTCACAACGAAGCTGTTGGGTGCTGAGCACTTTAAAGCCTGTCCTCCACTATGAATCCCAGACACACATAGAAAGTCTTTGCCCAGCTTTTTAAAGATGTGGATGTTATCTGGACAGCCCTGACTCTCCTGAGTGGTCTGAAACCATGGACTCAAAAGATACCTCTTCCCTCCTCCGTGCTGCATCTTCTCCAAGACAGGGTTGCCAGAGCCCATCTCCTGGTGTCTCTGCACCGTGCTACTGACACTGGGGTAACACCAAAGGCACAGATGCTTCAGGAAGACCAATTGTTTGCAATGACATATTCTGCATTTTAAATGATCTTTGATTTCCTGGCAGCTCCCCCGTGTATCACCCCCTGTAATTCTGTCTAAATAATGTTTGTCAGGTGAAGCCACATCTGGGCAGCAGACAGAGCAGTCCACAGAGCGCTGCTCCTCACCGGGGACTTCCGAAACCCACCGGCCGATCAATCTCCACAACTCGCTGAATGATAGATGGAATATAATATAGGTCATTATTTCTTCCCTATGTGTGAAAATGAATTATTCAGTAAAGATTTAGATCCCTTTTTATTATGACACTGAATTTATAGAGCATACAAAACATAAATGCAGATTTCTCCAGCACCAGAGATATGAACTTGTTCTCCAGGCAGTGCGAGGTGGATGCAGCCACTCGGCATCGCTGCACGGCAGAGAGGGGATGTCCCAACAGCCGGAGCACTGGGCTGCAGCCTGGGCAATTAGGACCTGCCCCGAGCTCGGCTGCCAGCCTGCTTGCCTGCCATAGCATCCCCAAACCCCCTTGCTGGTTTAGGAGCCCAAGATCTCTTTGTTTCAGAAACTGGGCTCTCAGCAGCCATGTATCTTCGTGGGGATTTGGGCTCTCACGTCACCTTGACCTTAAAAATGCTGATCTTAACAAACTCTGCATCTCAGTCTCTGATCTGAAACCAGAGCTGCCAGAATTGAAAGGCAATTGGTGAGGCTGGAACCTGCTAATGAGAGGCGGTGCTCCGTGAGTACATGGACAGACGTGGTCTGTCTGCAGAGCCACTGTGGAGAATTTGGGCTGGTTTGTACCAATAGCAGTAACTTTCCTTGTTACTGGAATAAATGCTCCAACTTTTAATTGTGCAGCTTGGGAGAACATTACCCCTGACCGGCAGTTACAGATGTCAGCTTCGCGGTTCATTAGCTGCTTCCCAAAGTCCACGGGGAGTTTGGATTTTTAGCACGAACATTAGAGGTCGGAGAGAAGGAGAGCAGAGGGCAAACCTGCAAACTCTCCTTGGGGTGGAGAAAAGTCTGGGATCAGGGCTGGAACAGCACCTTTGGGGATGGGTGCTGCCATGTGCCAGCCACGGAGCAGGACAGCGGGTCCTGGTTTGTCACCCATAGGCACTGAACGAGCCCCTGGAGCATCCCTGGTGCCATGGGTACGGCTTTTGCTCCCTGACAGCAGCAGGTGCAGAGAAACAGCAAAACTGTCTGAATAGACTGAAACTGGGCACCTGCCTGAACCCACCTTTGGCTCTGGGAGAGGCCAGAAAAAGAATGTATGGATAGTCTTCCCAAAGCCAGTTGACCTGTAGTGTTCCCTGATGGAAAGGATAACAGCGGAGATTTCCTTTCAATGTATAGAAATCCAAATTTCTCTTTGAGCCATAAGCAGGTGTACTGAAGTTCCCTCTGTCCATCAGCAATATCTGTCTTGTGCCTGTTCATTCTGGAACCCCTTTAAAATTCTACACTGCAGCCAGAGAGATTAAAGGGCAGGAACAACACTCCTGAGTAGTAATTTCCAGGTGATTATTATGAGAAATAGCTAAAATCTAAAGGAAGCTCAGAGGGGGGAGAAAAAGACTGTTCTTTAATCCCCCCCCTCCATTTCCTTTGCAGGTTGGTGCCGCTCACCCCGCTGGGGCTGGGGCAGGGCCAGGTCAGCCCCTCTCCTGTCTGGAGCAGTTGGGGTGTTCCCTTGGAGGAGCAGAGCCTGCCCTGCTGCTGTACCAGAGTTCAGCACTTCATGGCAAAGCAAACCCAGTAAAGGGGATTACGTCCCATTTTACAGGGGTCGGCAGCAGAGCATGGAAGGGAGCGTTTCTCCATTGGGCCTGACCTCTCAGCCCTGCACACATCTGCTCATTCCCACCTCCTTCATTAGTCCCTGCTGGAAAGTACATCCACATGCTGCCCCCACCCCCAATAAAAATATAATCCCTGAGCTGGAAATAGCTGGCCACCCCAAAATAGCTCTTGCAGGCACGGCTGCTGAGCCAGGAGGGCTTCGGCTGGGAGGCACTCGGTCCCGGGTGAGCGGAGATACTCAAAATCCATGGATGTTTCTGAAAATGTAGGGCAACGTGGCTCAGTCCCTTTGGGTGGGCGGCCCTCGCTCCTATGCTGTGCTCCTTAATTTATGGGAAGCTGATTGCTTTTACCTTAGATAATTACACCAATACCTGGCAGCCCCATCACCGCTCTCGCCCGACACTGCAAATGCTGAGTGTGAAATGCAGGAGCTGAGGGCAGAGCTGGCACCTGGCTGGGCGGTGCCTGCCAGGGCCCAAGGTGTGCTGCTGCCAGAGCCTTGGGAAGGGGGGCACCAGGATGTGGGACATCAGGATATGGGATGCGGGGACATAAGGAAACAGGGGCACAGGGATGCTGGAGCTCGAATGTAGGGGCTCTGGGATGTGGAGGAGCCCCAGGACGGCGGCCCTGGGCTGCTGGAGCCCCATGGTGCAGGGGCACTGGGGTACAGGAGCCCCGAGGCGTTATGGCACAGGGACAGGGGGACAATGGGGCAAGGGAGCCCCAGGCCGTGGGAGCACCGGGCACCAGCCACTCTCTTTGAGCAGCCCCACAAAGCTGTGGGTTAAACCCGGGGCGTTCTCAGGGTCCAGGCACAGTGGGTGCGACACCCACACTTGGTGACGGGATAAACACCTCTCAGTAATGCCCGAATTTCTCCCGAGCACCTAAAACTTAATTTCCCTTTCCTGGGCACCCAGCAGGTGCTTTCCAACAGCCCCTGGAATTATTCTCCGACAACCCGCCCGGCCGTGCCGGGGATGGGGAGCAGAGCAGCGGGGACGGCGGGGAGGGGCCGCTTTCAGTGCAAGAGCCAGCCCTCGGTACAGCCCGGGGGGGGGAGCGTGGGGTCACGGAGCAGCCCCAGGGGAGCCGGGCGGGCTGTGGGGAAGCGGGCTGTGAGGGAGCGGAGCCGGACGGGCTGTGAGGGAGCGCGCTGTGAGGGAGCGGGCTGTGAGGGAGCGGAGCCGGACGGGCTGTGAGGGAGCGGGCTGTGAGGGAGCGGGCTGTGGGGGAGCGGAGCCGGGCGGGCTGTGAGGGAGCGGGCTGTGAGGGAGCGGGCTGTGAGGGAGCGGGCTGTGAGGGAGGCGGAGCCGGGGCGGGCTGTGAGGGAGCGGGCTGTGAGGGAGCGGGCTGTGAGGGAGCGGGCTGTGAGGGAGCGCAGCAGCCCCGGGGGAGCCGGGCGGGCTCTGAGGGACTCTCGGACACGCGCGGGGCGCGGGCAGGCGGCGCGCGGAGAGGGCGCGGTGACGTCACGGTGACGTCACACAGGGCCACGCGCCGGCAGCGGCCCCGCCCCCGGGAGGGAGGAGGAGGGAGGGAGGGGCGGGATGGAGGGAGGGGAGGGGAGGATGGCGGCGGGGGGGCAGGGAGCGCCGGCGCGGCGCTGAGCTAAGCCGATCCCACGTGTGACGGATCTGGCTGCTGCCCCAGCGCCTCTCCAGTGAGATCCTCCGGTAGCGGAGGAGGAGGAGGAGGAGGAGGAGGAGGAGGGGAAGGGAAAAGGGGCACAGCAAGCGGAGCGGAGCGAACCGAGCCGGAGCCGGGCCGGGGGCGGGTTGGGCGGGCGGGGGTTCTCTCAGGGGCTCTCGCTCGGCGCGGCCATGGAGGCGGACGGGAGCCAGGCTACCTCGGGGAGCCCCGGAGAGGCGCAGCACGACCCCGGGTAAGTCGGCGGGGCGGCGGGGGCGCGGAGCAGGGCGCGGGGGCGGCGAGGCGGGCCCGCCCGCTCCGCTCCGCGCCCCTCCGCCCCGCCGGGAGCTGCCCCGTCAAAATGGCCGATCCCGCACCGGCGCTCAACTCCGCTCTGCTCTCTCCCTCCAGCAAGATGTTCATCGGCGGCCTCAGCTGGCAAACCTCACCAGGTAACCCCCCGCCGCCCCCTCCCCACGCGCGTCCCGCCCCGCGTGGGCCGCGTCCCGCCGCGCCGGGCCCTGCCCGCGCCCCCCCAGCCCTGACCCTCCTCTCCCTCTCTGCTCTTTCTCCGCAGACAGCCTTAGAGACTATTTTAGCAAATTCGGAGAAATTAGGGAGTGTATGGTCATGCGGGACCCCACCACCAAGCGCTCCAGGTAAAACCGCCGCCCACCCCGCTCGGGTTGACAAACTTCGCGAGTTGCCGTCGGGGCGGGTGGACCCGCACCCCCCAAAATCCCACCCCAAAACCCCAGCCCCGCATCCCACCCCGCGCGCGGGGCGCTGCGGGAGGGCTCTCCCCGCCCGCATCCCTCCAGCCCGGAGCAGGAAACAAAGCGGCCGGTGGAGCCGGAGCGGGGCCGGGGGTCGCGGCTGCCGCCCCGCGCCCGCCCCCTGCACCCGGAGCCTTGGGGGAAGGGGGTGGGGGACGGCACAGCGGTTTATTTTTATGACTTCTCCCCTTGTCTCTAATTCTCATCACCTCCCCCCATCCCCTCGCTCTTTGTCTCTCGCAGAGGCTTCGGGTTCGTTACGTTCGCGGATCCGGCGAGTGTAGACAAAGTCCTGGCTCAGCCGCACCACGAGCTGGACTCCAAGACGGTAGGTCGTGCTGGGGCTCCGGGCCGCCCTTCCCGGCACGGCGGGGACGCGACCCGGGCGCACCGAGCCCCGCTCGGGCCGCTGTCAGGCTGTCATTGAACCGGGACCTTGCATGGCTGGGGGGTTTCCTTTTTATTTTTTCCAGGCTCTGCCTTTAACTTGCAAAAAGCGGCAACTTTCTTTTTTTTTTTTTTCCTCTAAGCCCGAATTCCCCCATACCGACCGCTGGCTCCTCCCCCGGCCTTATATTTTATTGAGCGGTGACATTGAAAAAGCTGAGGAGTAAAATCCAACTTTTTTTTTTCGGTGTTGGGCTGCAGAATGCTTTCTGCAGGGAACTTTGTGCTTCTTTTGATTGATTATTTATGTATTGGTGCACGCGTTTCAAGGTGGGAGTGACTTACTGTCAAACCGTGAAAGCTGCTGCTCGTGTCATTTCCCAAAGTCATTTTTTGGAGAGGTCCCCTCACCTGCGATGGCAGCGCCCTTACGAAACGCACGCGTTAATTTATGGGAAGCTCTCAGAGAGGTGGAGAGTGGCTGTGGTAGAGAAGCACAAGTCCTAATGTGTTGTTGTTTCTCCAGAGCTTTTTGCTGTGCTCAGTCTCCAGTGCATAACATAAGGAAAAAAATGCTCGTGAGATTCAGCTGATCTATTTTTTTTTTTTTTAAATGAGCATCACATTTGCTTTAAAAACAAACAAACAAACAGAAAACCACACCTGAGTTTTCCCCTTGGCCCAGTACGGCATTTTCAGTATTGGGTCAAACAAAAGGTATCGGGCAAGTGCAGCTCTGGGCCCTCTTTTCTCCCTCTGATCAAGGCCATGCAGAAAGATGAAGTTTTGTGCCTCCTAGTTTGTTGTAGTTTCAGCCTCGGCAGCCCTGGGAGGGGAGGGGGGAAGGACACTGGTAGAGGTCATCACTGCTCTGGTGCTGCTGGCTCTGGAGGGGGTTGTGTTTTGGGAAGGGAAGGCTCGTGCTGGTGTAACTGCGGAGCTTCTGCTGGACGATCGAGCGTGTTCCTTACTGTAACTGGGTTTTGTGTGTTCTGGGGCTTAAAGGTTTTATTTTAACCTGAGCGTGGTGTTAGGAGCAATCCTGTCTCTGTGCTGCAACATCTTGTGGGTGCCTCTGTGTGCGAGATTATAGTTAAATGAAGAACAGGAGGAGCAGGGAGCAAACATGAGTACCTGATTTTTAAAAAATGCAATTTATATGGAAACAAAAAGCCCAAAGCTCTCTTAGAAGCAGGTGGAATCTAGTGTTTTAATTCGACCTACAGATTCTGCTGGGCTTGTCTGAGCACGAAGCCCATGCTTTCACATGCCTTAATAATTTGATTTTAGGTTTAATCAGATATGGTAAGATAACTGATTCAGCCGTGCTCCTGAGATTAAACTCACCAGACTTTTCATGTACAGCTATATTCTCTATGTGTTTTTAAAGATAAATTTAGATAAGAAGAACAAAGGCAAACAGTATCTTCAACGAGGGTTTTTTTTAAAAAAAAAAAATCATGAGAGGACACCCTGTCATATTTCTGACTATAATTAGGTCCTCCCCCAGCTTTTTTCCTGTATCACAGTCTAGTCCCTGCAATGTATTAATTTGCTCTTGTCTGGGGGAGGGGTGAAGAGCTTCACCAGGACGCATCTCCCTCAGTTTGTTTGTGTGATAATGATTGAATCAATCCAAATATGAAATTGCCCTTAGAATCAGAAACAAACACAGAGCCAGGCAGGTCCTTTCAGGCGTGTATTTGTAGAGTATTGTAGTAACTGTTGTGCAGTATAACAAGGCATTTGACTCTGTTTCAACGTTCAGCACAGGAGGCAGATCGGTTGGGTATTGGCATGGAAACGTCGCTCTTGTTTACAGTTACGTTTAAAGCTTTGTTTAGGTAATGGCCATTCATATCAGAAATAGTATTATAGTCATTTCCTAGAGGACTTGTAGATACAGTAAGTAGAATTGTACCTAACTAACTAATTTTTTTGGTAGAACTTTGTTTTTTTTGGTTTTGTTTTTTATTTTTTCTTTTTGGTTGTTGTTTAAATAGTTGACAGGGTTATGCAAAAGGTACGGATTTGCCACGTTCATTGCTAGTATTCATCTTCAAAGGCTGATGGTGTTTATTCAAAAGGTTTGGGGAAGGAAAATTCAGTTCTTTAAGAAAATCTGTCGCTGTGGTGCAAAGGACTCCATGCTCTTTGAACTGACCTTCAAAATGAAGGTGTTGCTTTGGAGTTTATTGGCTCTCCTAGCTTTTTACCAGAGATTCTTTGCAGTGATGTCCTTCTGGTGGGTCCTTTTTACTTTGGTGAGAAAACTTGTACTCCTGAAACAAACATAGGAATGTGCATATTTGCCTTCACCTTTGGGTACTGCTGTGGAAAATCCGTACCTGTTGTATTTCCCCAGTAGACAAATGCCTAGTCAGTGCTGAATATATTTGTAGATAATGTTAATCTCTATGAAAAGGTTAGCTTTCTAGAAAAATAATTTTACTTTTTATGCTTTTTGAACAATAAAGTGGCATGTAATCACTCATTTCTCAGGTGTGTCTTAAAGCAGATGCTACATTTGTATCTGATGGAGACAAATCAGTTTGTCAGCTGCACATGAAGCGTTTGCGATATTTCCCATTTTGACAAATTAATTGAGTAAAACTGCTTTTTAGGAGAGGCCCATGGTTATTTAGCAGTGCCAGGAATATTTATCACCATAGGAATAACAGTACCAAATGGAAATGTCTCCCTGTTCCTCGTCAAGGTTAGCTTGAGGGGAGAAAACCCAACAAAAGCCAAACCCAAACTCTGAAGGAAAGCCTCTACTTCTGAATGTGCTTAACCATGTTAGTGTCAGCAGTTGGTTATACAGACAACACTGAAAGCAGTCCCAAGTTGCACAGTTCTGGTAGGATTTAGTACTTTAAAACATCCTTTCTAGGTTCTTTAGAACATGTCTGCATGCAGGTGCTGCTGAGAACCAGAGGTGAAACCAGCAGCATGGGGGCATTTTATTGCAGTTTAAACTGGGCAGTTGTTAACATGTTTATTTACATCCAGCCGTGCCTCTGTGGTGGTGTCTTTTTGGTTTTAGGTCATTTTGTCGTGGGAGAGAGGAGTCACTTTTTAAAGATGACCCGTGTGGAAGTTGTGTGTAGAATTGCAGAAGGAGCGTTTTGGAATTGCAGAGTGGGTGCACTTTGATGCAGCACAATGGGAGTCCACACTGCATCTTAACACTGCATCTTAACAGAGTGTGGGGTAGACTAAGGAATTTTTTTCCCCCCCTTCGTTTTTGTGTCTGGTGACGTAACTCCTTCATGGAAAACCTTTTCTAGGAGCGTGTTTTCCTCTGGTGTGAGTGCCTCTGTGTACACGAAACCTGCACGTTTGTGTCTTCCTCTCCTCTCTTCCCACCCTACCCCATAAACTCCCCTTTTTAGTTCTCGTTTGCTCACATGTATTCTTGGAGAGCGAGCAAACCAGCTCAATTTGGCATATTCTTATGAAGGAGCATCTAGTCCTTCTGATACTTTGGTTTTAGTAATTGAAGTGTGAATAGTTTGACAGGTTTTGACTTTCCTTTTTGTGTGGTGTTGCTCATCAGTTGACAAAACAAAGCAGAAAAAACCCCCTGTAACCCCAAACCCAACTGCAGGAAGGTGCAGGTGTGGAACCTAGCAAGTTAAGATGTTGGTCAGGAATGCTGGCCCTCTTCCTGTACAACCTCCAGAGCATGCAGATAATCCCTAACATGCAGTTTTGGTGGTAGAGGCAGCACCCAGAGACTAATCCAGAGCTCCCCCAGCATCAGTGAGGATCGTTGCCCAGAAGATGATAGAGGTGTGCAGAAGAGATGTTTTCTTCCTCTCTTCCCATCTTCCTCCCCAGAAAAACCCAGTCTGTGACCCATCAGCTCCAGAGTGGTTCTGGATGACCCGGTGTGCCGAACTACAAGCCTGAGAAATGAGGGATTAATAATTCAGTGATTTAAAACCAAAATACTCTGAAATGACAACCAAAGCTATCTTGTTGATTTCCCCTTTCTTTTTCCTCAGATTGACCCTAAAGTTGCGTTTCCCCGACGAGCACAGCCCAAGGTAAGTAGGAGGATCGATAATAGGATTTTAGGCACACAGAGAGTCATTGTTGCCAGGCAGTTCGGGTTTCAGCCGGGGAATTGGCAATGAAAGCTTTTAAAGCCGGAGTGCTCGGCGTCCGAGGGGGATCAGCGAGTGGCTGTGGCATGGGGGAGGGCTCTGTGCTGCCGGTGTGTGACAGTGTCCGTGCACAGCTGGGTGGTTGGTGCTGCCCAAGGGCAGAGCCGGTCCCGGATCCGTCGGGATTCGCCGGCGCAGCCCCGCGTCCGTGCGGCTGCTCTACACAGTGTCTTCTGCATGGTGTTTATGAAGAGTGTCTGGATTAAGTGCAGGCTTTAGGCTTGTTTTGAGCTGAGCTTTCAGTTCTGTGGTTGTAATGGATGGGAATATATCTCTGCCTTCATTGTTTGCAGATTGTCTTTTGTACAACTTGAGATGTGTGTGCAGACGAGTAAGCGTTGGATAGCAAGTTTGTGATGAGGCCCTGAGCTCCTGGGGCCACAGGGTATTCTTTTGCAAGAGCAGAGGGACAATGAGGTCTGAGTGTCCAGCTGGTCAGGCTGGAGCAGTGGCCTGGCCGTGGTGTGACCAGTCTCCACAGAAGGACAGGGACAGGCAGAGACTCTCCTGCCCGTGTGCTGCCTCCAAAACCACTGCGTGCCACTGCTCCTGGAGGCGCTGCTCGTGGAATAGGAGTGGTGGTTGCCCTTTAGGCTGTGCCTAATGAAAACAAATCAGTTTCAAATCCAAACGTGCAGTGTGTGAATTTTGAAAACCAGGGGCTGACAGAAAACTTTTGTCTTTGTCTCTTTGTTTGTTTTTGAGAGTCTGTTGGAAGAACTTAATTCGGCTGGTGTATGGCGCTTGTATACACTCTAGTCATCTTGGGTTACTTCAGCCTTCTGATTAAAAAAATGGAAAGGCAAGGCTGCAGATTTGTGGATTCAAGTCAGCAAGGAAAAGTGGTCTAAAGCTGGTGGGAATGAGTTCTTAAAAAAAAACCAACCAGAGAGCAAACCCCAACAGCCGACTCTGAGAATTTTAGACCAGACTAATGTAGTCAAATGTTTAGAGGTTCTTTTCTTCCTAGGACATATCTAATAACTAATTGGTAAATAATGGTGTGCCTGGCTTGTTTCTGCGCTGAGCAAAGAGTTTATAGTGTGTGGGGTTGTGGCTTCTGGATTATGTTGTTGGATTGATTCTGTCTGTAAGATGCGATGTAAAGTCACCAGAATTTTGATCTTGTGCAGTGACTGATGTTCCTTTTCCCCTTCCCAATACCTTTTAAAGGCTTATTTACATTTTAAACTGTCTTCAGTTACCAGTTATCTGTTTCTACAGTGTTATTTGGAGAAGTTTATAAAGCTTACAACAGAGCTGTTAAGCTGTCCCATGTGATTCTTCTCTGACAATTAAAAAAACCAGGGCATGTCTTACGTGGGAGATATTAGCGAGTTAAATTTTTGGGTTAAAGAATGCAAAATCAGGTTGTTTTTACAAAGGGGATTTTGTTTTCCTCCACATAGGGTGTTTTTTTTGCCTTGGTTTTTGGTAGCAGACATCTTTCGAGTGTGGGGCAAATGCTGGAACGTAGGCTGGATTCCACTCCTAGCAGGATCTTGCTCTCTCTGGAGAGGTCAGCAGTGTCTGTTGCTGCTTTTTACACACTTGTCCTTTCTAAGTGTCGGGATGTCTGTGGGGCATTTGAAAAAAATCTGAAGATTGAAAACAGCCCTATTTGGAATCTGGAGAAAAGCAGATGCAATAAAGAACAGATTTTACATCTATTATGACGTATCATTCTGGCCAACATTTCATAATCTGGATATTTTGTTTTTTGTTTTTTAATTAGATACTGAATTAAGGTTTTGGACTTTAGCTGTTCATTTATCCCGGTTGAATAGCAAATGCTCAGCGTTAAAATGTGACTGTACTTTAGTCTAATTAACTAGCTAATGCTTGGGTCTGTGGAGATTAATGGCAGTTAATGAAATGTCTCTGTCTCTCTCTATGTGTAAGGGGAGAATTTGTTAGGGTCTTCTTCCCCCCCAGCTCCCCCAAAGAAATCTTCCTTTTAGCAAAACAGGGATTTGGTTTTTTGTGACTTTCCTGGCAGTGATGGGTGCTGAGATGGGAGCAAGGCTGGGGGTGCTTTCCCCATTCTCCCTCCCTCCCTCCCTCCCTCCATCCCTCCCTCCATCCATCTCCTTCCTTCAGGAGCCCTTTTGACCCTCCTCAGCAGGATTAACTCTTCAGTGGGCACATGTGCTGGCTCTGCCCTTGCCAGGTCATGTGCCTGCGGGTCACACTCACTTATTTGTGCGTGTTCCTTCCCCCTCCTGATCCACTGTAATTGCTCCTTGCCCCTTTCAAACCACAGCCCAGTAAAACGCTTTCTTTTGGGCTTTTTAAACTGCATCTCCATGGTTTGACACCTCTCTGGTGATGCAAATTGGTTCCTGAGCAAGCAGTGGCAGGTTGTAACAGCCGAGCATTCTTCCCTGATTTTCTTAGAATGACCCTCTCGGAAAATCCTGCTGATTGCCTCCAGTGGATTATGCCATGATGTGTAATCCTGCTCTCCTTGGGAAGTCCAGGACGACTTGAAGCCATTGTTTTTGGAAATTTGCTGCAGGGTTTAACTCGTTGGGGCTCTGGTGTATGGCTAGCAGCGAGATGAAAAGAGTGCACTCCTGCGGCTGCTGTTCCTTGATAAAAATCTGTCTTGCTTCCAAGTGCTGGAAGGCACTCTGTAACAGTAGATCATTTATAACTCTGCTGACTTAAAAAAATCCTTAAAAAGCAACAGTGATGGGGTGGCAGTAGTTTTGTACCCCCTTTTGAATACTGAAGACTATAATAATTTGACTTTCTACTATACATAGTCTGCCAGTTCTGACGTTACCTGCTCTATTAGGTTGGAGGAGCTTTATCTGATTTAGCATTTTCATTAGATGTTTTCACATGTAAGCAATTTCCCCTCTCACCCCTCTGCCTTAGGGATTTATTTGAAAAACAAACCTGAAGAGCAAAAGGACAGCAGGCTCGGTCCACAAAGAAGCTGCTTGACCATGAGAATACCTTTGTGTGGCTTACTGGTGTAGGAATTTAGCTGCTTTGTCATGCAGAGCCCTGTATGACACAGGAGCAAGTAGAACTCTGGTCAAAGTTTGCAGTTAGTGAGGCTGCCCACCGAGCTGTGTTTTGTGCTCGGGTTCCTGCAGGGTGGGACAGAGCTGCTTGTTCTTCCAGCACTCACTGCAGGGGCAGAAAGCACATGGTTGGGAATTGCCCTCAATTCAGCAAGCTGGAGCTACTTGTAGTAGCATTGAGGGTGTCAGTGAGCACTGAGTGTGTGCCCTGCTGGCTGTGGTCTGTGTCCTTCCTCTGCAGGAGTCAGAGGATTGGAAAGGGCAGGGTAACTACTGCTGTGGACCAGAGTACAGATGGTCATTGCATATTTTAATTTGGGATCTAGTGTGTGGGTTGGGTGCAGAATGCTGGTGACAGCTTGGTCACAAAACAGCAGAAGAGCTTTACTTGGTGAGGGAGGCCTGTCCTTTTGTGTGTGGTGGTGGGCTGGTGATGCTGAACTGCGGGGTCTTTACCAGACGTGTTGTATTGTCCCAGAGGTGGGTGCAGAGCCGAGCACTGTGCTGGCCCTTGGTGCCCCAATCAGGCAGGCAAGCAGTCTGTCCGTGTGTGTGCACACTGGTGCTCCAGTCAGTCAGTCAGTCCATCCGTGTATGTGCACACCGTGTGGACCTTGTCTGTGGCCTGGCTGGTTTCCTGTCTGGCTGGACACGTGGGCTGTAAGTGGTGCAGTTCTGCACATCTGGTCCTTCGTCTTGGGAAGAAACAGTGTCAACAACTCTCCTTTCATGGGAGTTGCTGCTGGTTAAAGCCATGTGAAGCTGGTATTCTGGAGCAGCAAATGGAGGGCATGCCCTTTTGGAATAACACTCAGGCCAACCTGGGATTTTTTTTTTAGAGCTAACCAGTGGATTTATATGTCTGATTCCAATTAAGTTAACTGTGGGTGGGGTGTCTGTGTCCCTTGGCTGCCTGATAAGCCTGAGCCAGAGTAACAGGGAGAGATTTTATTCTAAAGCAATTGATGGACCTTGAAAATCAAGGGTTCTGTTTGTTTCCTCCCCTCCTTCTGCCTGTAAACTCCTCCAGGTTAGTCTCACTACTTCTCATCTTATTTTAAGTGCCAGGTAGACTTTGAAGTTGGGGTTTTCTTGCTAGTGCAGAACTCAGGATTCTTCCTTTCCTGCCACCCTTCCTTCCCCACCGGGCTGTAAAGAGCAGCAAGGTCAGACCTTTTCCCTAGGATTTTTTGTTTGTTTGTTTTTTTGTTTGTTTTGTTTTTCTTTTTGGATTCCCCTGCATTTACAGGTCTGGGTAGAGTAAGAGAGGAAGTGTTTCCTGCTTGTGGCATCAGGCATAGATGTGTAGCTTGATACTGTCATGGTATTGTCTGTGTGCAGAGTCGTGTGAAGTCCTTACAGATGGTGAGAGGGATTTCTTTTTATGGTCTACAGCCACTCTTTGGGCATCTTGTTCATCCAGCCTTGATATAGATCCCTTGTCCAGCGTAAGCTGCTCCTAGAATTGGCTTCCCTCTGGCATTAGATAGTCAAATGGAAAAGTTGCTGAGTCTGAATCTTGGCTGATCAACCCAGGTCTTCCGTGGTAGTGGAGGATCAGGGTTTTGAAACCCTTGGGCTTGGATTTGTGATCTGGCCGAGGCAGTGTGGTCTCTGTCCTTGGATGCTGCAGCCAGATGGCAAAGGGGCTGTGCAAGGCCTTCTGTGGAGTGCAGTGAGTTCTGTCAGAAACAAGAACTGACTGGATTTTTGTAATTCTGTCGTTTATTTGAGATGTAAACATTTATTTCTTCTCCCCAATCACTCAGGTAAATTGCTCACGTTTTCCTGAATTCCCACAGAGTGTCTTGTACTTGTTAGAATGTCTGTATTTCCATTCTCATT